ACAAGGGTCCTTTCTGGTCATTATGTGTTCATTTTCACACACTTTATCCCTAGAATATATTATAACCTTTTTACAAGCAGGGTCCTCCTGGTCACTGTGTGTACATTTACACACACTTTATCCCTAGAATATATTATAACCTTTTTACAACCAGGGTCCTCCTGGTCACTGTGTGTACATTTACACACACTTTATCTCTAGAATATATTATAACCTTTTTACAACCAGGGTCCTCCTGGTCACTATGTTTTTCATACAACCTGTTTCGGCCAGGGTCCTTCCGGTTGTTACGGGTACATTTTCACACATCCATCTACAAATAGATGCTCTGCATAAATTATGACCCTAATATAGCAGGGGCCATGAATTGATTACATGTACAAGTTCAGAAATTTAAACATAATCATATGGCATATATAATTCTAACTTGTTTTTCGAAAATATTCGATTCTGATCAGTCAATCAGGGGTTTCATATACATGTGATAACCACTTTAATTAAAACAACTGACTTGACGGTTGCCGCTATATTTATAGCAAATTATTTGTTTCTTAAGTATTGTCGATGGGCATTTTGAAATAATGAGATGTACAATTACTGGTTACAAAATATTATTACTAAAATAATCATAGTATGTCTGGCAATATAAATTTGGCAGAAAACACGATATTATAGGAATAACTGAGAACAGTAAATCTGACGTTGTGTAGCAGTAAACTGCACCAAACAATACAAGACTTGCTGTAGTTCTTCAAGTTGGACAGTGAATTAGCTATTCTATATGCTTTCGGTGTCTATAATATGTGCAAGTGACGTATAATGATGTAATTTAAACAATTTTTTACATCGCCATACTCCGTTTCATGGCTATTATCACCACAGCGTATTACAACTGTGTGTTCGGTTCACGTCACGGCACAGAAGGCGCTACAATAAAAATAGTTTTTAATTATATTTACTATTTTCCGTAAGTCTCATACACTTTATCCATTTTATATATTATAAACTTTATACACAAGTATTTCGGTTCGTGCACTAAATTTGAAAGGTAAAGTTAGCTTGATTTATGTAATACATAACATATTTTTCGATGGTTTTCAATTCCCTGTTTATGTCATCCCTTGACTTAAAAAGAACTGAAATAGTCGCTCGTGGACACTCGTGTAAATATAATTTCTCAACAGCATATTAATAATTTGTCTACAAACACTACGTATCCTCTATTTATACTCCAAGGATCATCAGAGACCATATAATATATATTATATGGTCTCTGGGATCATGAAGTGATTTTCTAGACCTTTCATGTGTTCAGTATTTATGTTCTACTCATACTTGTCACCCATCCTTCCATGTTTCAAGAGTGGATTGAAAACACACCTGTTCCCTAAATACTACTGCCTAACATGAATTGTGCGTCATACCAAAATATGTTAAAAGATGGTACTTTTTGTTACCCTGAATGGCACTCGGCATTAAGGGGCTGAAACAAGAACTAAAGTACTCACGGAAATGAAAAAACCCTGTTTTTCTCAATTTAAAAATCGACACACAAAGTGTTACGTAGCTGTAAATACAAAATAACAAAACAACTCGAAAAGATCTAGTCTGGATTTGCTAGTTTGATCTCAGTGAACAATACAAAATGTACTTTACAGGAGGTAATTTGTCGTCACTTTCAACATTCAAAAATAAAACTGTCCAAATTGACATAGCAGAAACAGACTATAGGCATTATGCACCTGTTCTCACCTGTCGTCAAGGTGTCATAGGTCACCTTGATCTGCTTACAACTGGTTATGCCCTGTTTCACAATAGTCTGTTTTATTCACATTTTTACACACTTTTACCTGTAAAAAGGCATAAAAACATTTGATACGCTGTATTTGTGCCACGGCCCAATTAGTACTAATTTAGTTGTTTGAATATTTACATATTTTGTATATTAACTGCATTTATTTAAGATCTGAGGTCGAAAAAACAGTTTGTTTTCATTTCCGTGTGTACTTTAGTCAGCTCGGAGTCGCTACACTGTGTCTGAGTGGAGTATTTATATAAAGACTGCGGCATGGTATCTCTGTGGGCTAGCGCTATTGCATACACTCGAGCGCACGTACGCACGCACACACACACACACACACTCACACGCACATGCACACGCACGCACACACACACACACACTCACACGCACACACACACACACTCAGACTCTCTCACACACACACACACACACACACACACACACACACACTCACACTCATACGCACATGCACACGCACGCACACACTCACACTCACACACACTCACACTCAGACTCACACACACACACACACACACACACACACACACACACACACACACACACACACACACACACACACACACACACACACACACACACACACACACACACACACACACACACACACACACACACACACACACACACACACACACACACTATCGAACCGAACGTTTATCTCACTTTCTCCTCATCTTTCCACAAATTTTGACAATGTCTTTTGTATACGACGTAGAATTTATATACCAGAGATCTTACATTTCTTATTTTATGGAACTAGGAGCTTTGCATTTTAACTAAGACCTATTATTTTGAACCATATCCTTTGTACATGAAATTAGACAACTGTATAACAGATCTTGTACTGCTTATTACCTTAATGAAACAAAATTTGGATATAAGTAACCAAACTCCATTTTAGAAGTGACTCTTGCTTTATTTCCCATGACTGATCTGTTGCACTTAATATACAGTGGCTGATTCATGTACTTTAGTGACAAATAAAACAGCACGAACAATGGACATTAGATTAGGCTATATGGCAATAGACTGGTATTATAATACTGCTGGTATATTATGAAATGTCTCCTGCCAGTGGTTTCCATTTCTGTATTGATATCTGTTTCTTATTGTTGCAATAGATTTTTCGACTTTGCATACAAATGACAGATACCCCATGGAACATTCAACAGATGGATTTACGCTTTAAATACTTGATCCATGAATGATTTCTTTGTGATATGTGATTTTGTAATTGCATATATTTTTGAAAGCCAAACAGAATGGAAAATGCAGTAACATGAAACAAATCTTGAAGGTACTGGTTCAGTTGTTATTCCAGTTCTGGAGGCACGCGTAGCCCAGTCGTCTAAGGCGCCGCGATTCGCTGTGCAGAGTTGCGTCCCTTGGGCACGCCAGAAACCTATGATTGTTGGTTCGAATCCCGGTTCGCCCTGATTATGTTTCTAGGTTTGTCAGCACCATACCCGCGCTCATGGGTTTCACCGAAGTGGTAAACGTCGAAGACCTACATCACTTCGGGCTTTCCTCCGACATTAAGCTGACACGCCGTGTTATAACTGGAATAATGTTAAAAGCGGCGTTAAACCAAACTCACTCACTCACTTGTTCCAGTTCTCAGCAGAAACTATCAATATCATCACATTTAATATAAATATGGAATATTACCTACATAGTTTAATGTTTTACAATCAATAATCTTATTTTGGAAGTTTTGTTTCTTTTTTTTTTACTGTGTTAAGACTCTTTAACTTTTAAATCCACAGCTTGGGGCATGCCATGTGGGTCCCATGTTTACTTCTGAAAACCTTGACGTCTTGTCCCACGTCATGATATGGCTGGAATTTTGCCCAGTGGGACGTACAATTATGCTCCCTGATTAATTTTTAGAAGAAAATGTACATGTGTGTAATTTAATTAACACCACTGACCTGTCTTGTTAATTTCTATCGAAAGCCAAGAGGTATTCGATGATGAAAACTTTCATGGAAGGTCCAGGGAACGGTGTCATTCACATTCTGGCCGCCGTGGTTACCCTATTGAAATAACTTTTCCCAATTTTTCAGCATTTCGTATAACATCCTTGTGAAATGTAATATGGAGTAAGTTAGCACAATTTTAACCATTGATATTCACAACCCTTTGTCGCTGCAATATGAAAGATTAAGTGCGTCATTCTACAATTGTATACCATTGAAGAACGACTAAATGACCGCATGAATTGAATGAAAACATCAACGTCATGATTTGTTTGTTAAACAGTCGAAAAAGGGTGTGGCACGGGGTGTGAATGTTGATAACAGTTGTTACCACTGACCAATTGGAGTAAAAACTGACGACCAATCATATGCCCATATTGAGTTGGCCATCAAGACAGATGAGGTATGTGAAGCTGTAGTTAATGCCAGGCCACGACATCACTGCTATATTGGTCATGGTGTGTCATGGCGCTCATGAGCATTTCACCAAACGTCAGGCAATGAACATGTTGGAAACCATTGACATACAAACTGCCTGACGATACGACGCTGACTTATGAATGTGATATACAGCCATCTTAATCCTGCTGCTTTCAAACGTTTGCAACTAATCGTCTGTAGATGAGTGAGTGAGTGAGTATGTTTTACGCCGCTTTCAGCAATATTCCAGCATCATCACGGCGGGTCTTCGGCGTGACGAGGGAACGCTTTAACCACTAGGCTACCCGACCGCCCCCGTCTGTAGATGATATCCACAAACAAAAGGTTTATTCTAGATACTGATATGAATCTATTCCTTATGGTCTACTGCGAAAACGATGCATTTGGACAATAGTAGATATCCTGAGATCATTGGCATCTGAACTATTCAAGCCTATTGCTCGCCAATTTCCCACTATCTCTTTACCTCACAACGCGATGCACTTGGGATCGGGACAAAATAACGATGGCATGCTTTCTGCATGCTCTGTTGAATATGACCACAATATGAAGTCTTTCAAATTTCTCCTCATGCAGTCTTTAATTTTCTTCCGTAAGCTTGAATGTGGACAGCAGTGTAGATACCGGTAGGAGTTTTTATTGTCATTGCTCTTTCCTTTTTCCTGTTAACCTTGGTGTTATGACCTGATTGAACTATTGTTACAACATGCCAGAACATTTCAGCATCAGGAATTGTGATAACTATTATTTCATTACAGCCCAGGGTTGTTGAAAATGGATTGTTCTGAAGAATATGTGGATGCAAGATCATCCCCTGACACGAGTGAACAGGATTCACCTGTTCTTCACAGGAAACAAGAAACGCCAAGTCAAGATACGAAAGAACAGGACTGTCAGAATAGCCTCGAAAGGCAACCCGATCCTGCCAAACGAAATGATAGCCAGCCTCCTCATACACGAACTGATGTTCAAACTGATGACCGAACAGAGAGTGTAGGATCAGAAATTAATACCACTCTGTCTTCCTCTGATGTGGCAAGCAGGGACAAACAGGATGAAGGTAATCTCAATGATCCTGCTGATAGCAAACAGAAGAATTTAGTTTCACAGAATCATAAGGTTGAAGAAGAACATGAACGTGAAGCCGCATCGTTCCATAGAAACAGTGGGAAAGGATCTCCTCTGTTGGATACAAATAGTGAAGATGCTTCCCTTCGCAGTTGGGTCAATATCAGCAGTGCTACTATGTCACCTGACAGCATGTATAGAGGTGCTTTTCAAGATATGGATAGAAACGAAGTTACATCCTTTGACAACAGCAGTGAACATGTTTCCCCAGCTATGAATGCCAACAAAGAAGTGCCAAGCCATCAGAGGGCCACAGATGCCCATAGTGACGACGGACCAGATAGTTCACCTAACCACAATGACAATGATGATGATCAGCATGGACCCTCGAATGCAATGGTCAGTTCTAAGAGAGAGACGGACACAGACGCCTATACAGATGAACGAGAGAGTTCCCACAAGCATGATGACAATGATGATGATCTATACGGACCTTTGAATCCTCTGGCCAATCCTGAAGGAGAGACGGACAAAGACTCCCATACGATTCAACCAGATAGGTCCCACAAGCATGATGACAAAGACGATGACAAAGACGATGATCTGTTTGGACCTCTGAATGATGACAATGGTGATGCTTTGAATGGGGCTGCAAGTCCACTGCCTAGTCCTGAGAGTGGGACAGGCACAGATGACCTTGAAAACGACCCAAATACTTCCCTCAAGCATGATAACAATGAAGATGATCAGCATAGACCTTCGAATCCACTTCAGCATCTCCCAGGTAATGAAAACGAATGTGTCACTCAAGGTGTGGAAAATGAAAACTTCGGAGCTGTCACCAAACCTGAAAACGATACAACTCCACCCAATCAAACTGTCGAACACACCTATCCTGGCCGTGATCCTATTAGTGACAACTTGGAAGTTGACGGAAGTTGTAGGCACGGCTCAGAGCAGCAGCATTACTCTTCTGAAACAACTACTGGTCAAATCAATGTTAATATAATCAATACTCGTAGAGAAAACACAGACGTAAGCTTTGCTCATGTAGAGGATAAAAGCGACTACAGCGAGATCCTTCCTAATGATGCACCTGCTAGGCATGAAGTCGTAGACGTGTATCATGGGCAGACCATGGGTATTCAGGGTGGGTATACTGTTGATGAAGGCACACGGCACCGGAAGGAAATTCATCAACCCGGAGAAACAGAAACTTCTGATGACAATGCATATCATGGAAGAACTGTCTACCCTGAGTCGCTTCCACAGATGTCCGCCACAGGACCTACTGACCAGACTGATGCTGAAAGTTCTGTGCATGAACAGCAGAATGTAGGACTTGAGTCACCACCCCAGAATGTACATGGAAACCAAGGAAACGAAAAGGAAGAATGGCATATGGCTCAAGAAGAATTACCTGAACAGACACAAGCACACATGTCCACGGTACAGGGCGAACAAATGCCACATGATGTTACTCAGCATGAACAGGGAAATCTACACTTTGACGGACCTGGAGGTGTGCCACTTGGATTTCCACAAAACCCTGAATGCATTTCACAGCAGCAACGAGGGTATGGATTCCAGAATGCCCCTGTGACTAGTCCTCATCAACAAATCAATACTGGTGCAGTACCCTCTGACCTACAAGGGCAGTTCCACCATGGGAACAGACCTCCACAGTATTACCAAGGACATATTCACCATCAGTCCGGTTTCCCGCCAGCAGGAAATATTTATAGCTATCCTGATGTGTATTCACACCTGCAGGGACCTCAGAACATAGCACATGCTGGATATGGAACAGAAGGGTTTCCTGGACCACATGGAAAACATCACATGGAGTATCCAGGTCCAAGGTTTCCTCAAATGCAAAACCCACCGCATGGGTATCATCCCCAGACAAGGCATCAACATCCTAGACCAAGTTTGATTATAGACCCAAATACAGGATATCCTACAAATGCACCCCCGCCATATCGGGCTCCTAGTCAAGCTGATTGGGGACAGCAGTTCTATGGCCAACCACCTTCTCATCCTCCCCCTCCCCAGCAGACATATGATCAACAACAACAGCATCAACAACATTACAGACAACAACAGTTCCAACAACAGCACCATCAACACCAGTCTTTTAGTACCCAACAACATCACATGCCCCCTGGTTCCGCTGCTGAACAAGAGGACTGTATGAATCAAGACACAGATTACAAGAGGGAGAAAGGTAGTACCACTTCCATTGTAATGGCATAAATCGAAATGTATGTTATCTTATAAAATAGAAATGAATTCTACCAAGAATGCTGAAAAAAATAACAAAAGGGAGTATATCTTAAAGGTATCAGCTATGTGAATCGTTCGCACAACACCTTTCTATGAAATTAATTTAATCAACATTTAATGTTCACATATTTTGATTATTAAGTATCGCCCTTCCTCACTTCGGGAAAAAACGTTAAGTTGTTAGGGGTTTTAGCTAATAAATCAAAACAAAAATGTAAACCTAATAACAATATCCAACATACAGAAACCAAAGTGTGCAAACCATTTGTGAGGTAAAACAATAGAAGTTCTATTTTCTGTACAACAGTTTTATTACCTTTTAACCTCATCGACACTTATTTCAGAGCCACTCCAGACCATCCTTGTTGAAGGAATTACCCCAGATCTGACAGAAGATGTCCTTGAGATGTACTTCGAAAATAAGAAGCGATCTGGTGGAGGTGACATACAGGGAAAGATGAAGATGGACAAGGCGAAGAAAGCGGCTTACATCACTTACGAGAGTGAAGAAGGTAACATTTTATAGTGAGTGAGTGAGTATGGTTTTACGCCGCTTTTAGCAGTATTCCAGCAATATCACGGCGGGGGACACCAGAAATGGGCTTCACACATTGTACACATGTCGGGAATCGAACCCGGGTCTTCGGCGTGACGAGCCAACGCTTTAACCACTAGGCTACCCGACCGCCCCCAATATTTTATAGAATTTATACATACGGCCTATATTTTAAATCAACAAAGTAATTTTACATCACATTCTCTGAAGCCAATTATTGGGATAATTATCATTTAAATTCCCTAAATTAATGTTCCCAATTCCGATTAAAATGACACCTTCATTTAAGAATTCCAGAGCTGAATGTTTCTCTGTCCTTTGGATAACTATTTTGGACACATATCAAATTTAGTAATGTTTTAGTTGCCAGGCGAGTGGCCGAGAAGGAGGAACACAAATGCAGCTGCCACGTTTTGAAGGTGTCTCTGTACGACCCTGTCGAGAGTCCTTCTTCTGAGCTGGATACCAACACAATCGCTGTGACAGGGTTCCCGTCAACCATGACTCTAGACACTCTGGAGATGTACTTTGAAAACAAGCGTCATTCGCGTGGAGGGAATATCCTTGAAGCATCGTTTTCACAGAAGAAGGATGTGTTGTACATTAAGTTTGAAAAGGAAGGAGGTATGTTTCAGGTGTTTATTTTCTGTCTGATATTGCCGTTTTGGATTCAGGCCTATTTGTTTTGGACGCAGTCAAGCAACTCGTGATACAATGTACAACTATCAATCTTTGTATGATGTGAACAATTTCCTAATTTTACTGCAGGAGAACGTCGTGTACAAACAGTCCTAAATAAGACATTGGGCATAACAAAGAAGCCTATTAGAAATGGGATTTGTTCAGGGAAGCAAGGATTTCTTTTGACTTACTTTTGCATGTGTTTAAGATGGGAGCCACCGGTTGGGCAGAATACGCCCACATTTTTGCGAACACATAGTATCATCACTATTTGATAGTGATTCATAAACACATGCTCACGATACAGTCGGAATCGTACAATCGACTTGCTTTGAGCAGAGATTTCTCACAAATATGTAAAGGTTTTTGTCGCTTGCATTTTAGAATCCACACATTCCCGACACATCACAGATGTAACTTAGTTTTTTATAATACGACTCGAAACAAGCATTCTACCACCATAACCATGTATCTACAGCTGGAGGGGATAAACTGTAAACTGTAGAACAATGCTGTTGCTACATCCAAGCTGCACACATGGCTTCCGTCAATTGTTTGTGTTAGATTGTAGAATTCCCCATAGTACTATGAAGCTTCCTAAATACGTGGGCCGAAAATGAATATAATGTTATTCCTTCACGAATCTTATTGCACATGAAATAGTTTGATTTCTCGCGTTGAAGTCTGTTGATTAACTTTTTTTTATTGATGCCAAATTTTACCAGAATGCGTTTCTCTTTAGAGCGTCACGTGAAGATTCCGGGGTAGAATAGATCTTCAGCAACCCATACTTGCCGTAAAAGGCGACTATGCTTGTCGTAAAAGGTGACTAACGGGATCGGGTGGTCAGGTTCTCTGACTTGGTTGATACATGTCATCGATCCCAATTGCGTGGATCGAGGCTCATGATGTCAATCACTGGATTGTCTGGTCAAGACTCGATTATTTTACAGACCGCCGTCATATAGCTTGAATATTGCTGAGTGCGGCGTTAAACAACAAACAAACAAACAAAAATCTCTTTAGAGCTATGTATATTAACACCTGACTTGCCTTTCACTATGATGTTGATAAATATACATGGAATCTTCGACGACTAGCTGCCAAGGATGTTGTTGCAAAGACGGACCACACGTTCGAAAGTCACCCTCTGACTGTAACACTCCATCGGCCAAAGGCAGGACAAACCTCGTCCCCGAAGGCTATTGCAATCACAGGGTTTGGAGCAAAACCTGATGATGATACGCTACAGATGTACTTCGAATCCAAGAAAAAGTCTGGTGGCGGAGAGTTTGAAAAGTACCAGAGAGAAAAAGGGGTCATATACATTACATTCGAAGAGGAAGCAGGTAAATGCCTATAGTGGTGTATATAGTAAGATTATAAAAATATATTCTCACATCAAGACGCGTGAAGGTAAATGCAAATGTGGGCCAGAACAGATATTCCCAGACTCAAATCTAACATGTTTCCATGCCATTTATTTTTTAGGAAATATATGTCTGCACTCTACAGCTCACAGTTGCGGCACGTGTCGATTCTGTCGATTCAAACTTTTTGAATGATGATAAGTCAAATTGGTAGCATCCAATTTATGCATAGCCTAATCACATTATAGAATATTGAATTAACAGCAGCTACAATAAGATATCATATCTGCTCACAGTTATGTCTGTCGCAGCTTATCAGTGCAAACACCAAATTTTACTTAAACAAAATAAACCGCCTCCGTGGTCCAGTTCCTAGAACGCCTACTGGGAGAGCGGGAGGGCAGTTGTTCGATCCCCGGCTGTGTCATATCAAAGACGTTAAACTGGTACTTGTTGTTACCTGGCAGGCGCTCGGCGTTAAGGGGAGAAAAACAAGGACTGTTCTGGTCCATCGGCATACTGTGTCTGAGAGGGGGGTATACATTTTATTTAAACAGACATTAGTTCCGACAAGCACGCACGCACGCACGCACGCACGCACGCACACACGCACACACGTCACTTTATAAGTACATTCAATAATTTTGAACGCAACGTTAAACCTCATTTCACCTCACCTCACCACTTGAATATATTCGGTATCTTGAGCTCGTGAATACAAATCGTTACTACCACATATTCATCTGTGTTATTTGGTAAATACCATTGCCCGTAAATGATATGGTATTTGTAACCACGGAATCATTTTTACGTTATTTAAGAAAGAATAGAATTGAAGAATAATAATTTCATGTATACCTATGTGGACATTATGCCATTTTGAACATTATTTCAGTTATAGTAAAATATACACATGTATAGTCATCTTAAACCAAGAACAAAAATCATGGCAGTCTGGGGTTCGAATCCTCAAACCAATGGATCCTTGCAAGCGGTGGTCTCAATACTTTGAAATCGGTTCTGAAACGTTGTATAATTGCATTGTTTCAGTGGCAGATCGAGTTTTGGAAAAGCGTGAACATACTGTTGGAGGCGTGACATTGACAGTTGTGAAGGCAGGGATGGAGGAACTAGATGACAAATGCGATGCAGACAATAACGACGAGGAGCCCGCGACCACTATTGAGATACGAGGCTACGACAAAGCAGCCTCTAACGACTCCATCGCATTGTACTTTGAGAACAAGCGGAAATCAGGCGGAGGACCTACAATTGATCTGAAACGAAATGACAAGAAAGGGGTCATTTATATAACGTTTGAGACTGAAGAAGGTAAGATAGATTATTTGAAATACCCTGTTATACCAGAAATTGTTTTAATAGTATCTTTAATAGTATGGTGAACACACATGTATATATTCTCGATAAAAGAACTTTATTTTTAACCTTCAAGAGTTTGTCCCATACATCCAAAAGAAATAGATGAGAATCTTCTGAACCTGTAAACATAACTAAGGTTTTGACTGTTCAACTTTAATGGGTGTTGTACTCACAGGCAGACCGACATTTTCTTTAAAAACATAACATGACTCATGTTTACTATTTCAAGTTGCTGAGAGGGTAGTCAGCAAAGAACACAAACAGTCTGGCAGACTGCTGCAGGTAAAGCTGGCCATACCCCAAGTTATGTACAAGGACAAAGTACTACTCACAGGGGTGCCACCCATGGAGAGTTATGAAACACTGAGCCTTTACCTCGAGGCAAAGACAGAGCTTGAGGTGCAGCAGCTCCTGTATGGGGAAGAAGATGGAGATGTACTGGTTACATTCTCAGAAGATATCAAAGGTAGGATTAACTTTTATAACAAGTTTGATAGGACCCTGTTAATGATAGGACTCTGCTATGAATAATATCTCTACCACTTCATCAATCTAAATCTTCGTTGCATATAGGAAAATGAAATTGTTTATTTTGGTACTATGTAGTGGAACTGATAGCATTTTTCGAATTTTGATCATGACCTGATAGTGCCCTATATTATACAAACAGTACACGTTACCATTGCATTTTTGCACACTGACCACACATATATTTGGGTACATTTGCAATAACTATGTTTAGTCCACATTCAAGACGTTTTTGACCATGATTTATATTCTGGTCAGTGCTGTGACATTATTTGTGTATGAATATGCAGAATGTCATGACGTATGAAGGAAGAACTTCATATACTTGAGGGGCAAAGGGGGTCAAGTCGTCTGTAATTTGCTGTGAAGAGTTGCACTCCAGAAACCACTGATTGTGGGTTCGAATCCCGGATCGCCCCGATTATGTTTCTAGATTTGTCAGCACAATACATGTGCTCGTGGGTTGTAAACGTCCAGGACCTGCATCGCTTCGTTGTTATCTCCCACCTTAAGCTGACAAGCCATGATATAACTGGAATACTGTTAAAAGATCCACTAAACCAACCTAATCACTCGCTCACATACTGGACGTACGGACAATAATCTGTTATCATGGTGAATTATATGTAATATGTAGTTTTGTGGAAAAAAAAGGAAGAAGAAATGTTTGATTGTCCCTGCTATGGATGCATAATACACTGAAACAGCATCATTATTTATAATCAAACGAAATAAATGTCAATAGAATTTGTATCAGTTATAAGGTACGTACACTTCTGTTTCAGATTTTGAGTTGATGAAAGAAAAAATGAAGGACAAACCTTTTAAACAAGGAGGAAAGGAAGTTACCTTCAACATTGACAAGGTACCTGAGACAAGCAGTATCACAGTATGGGACATCCCAGAGGAGATAACAGAGGATCAACTCAGGCTGTACTTCGAGAACACCAGGCGAAGTGGTGGGGCTGATGTGGAAGATGTCATCAGTAACAGCCAACAGAGATATGCAGTCATCAAGTTCCAGGATGCAAAAGGTTGTTGTTATAATAATGAAACTGCAATGATTGAACAACACTTTCCTGTAATCATTGGTGAATAAATCTCCAACAGCATACAAATCATGGCATGTTATTACGATAAAATACCATATGTGTGTTACATATCTGTACTATCATAGACCTCTGTCTATTCCTTGTGTTTGCTCTAACAATGTAAATACCATGTTTCTTGCAGTTGCCGAGAGTGTGTACAAACGAAAACACAAGCTGCAAAAGCTCCCAGTTGAAGTTAGTCTTAATTTTGAGTGTCTTGGGGAGTCTGGAGGGACCTTGGAAATGCCCTGTTCAAAATTGCCAGACGCCTTCACAGTTTGTGATTTGGAGGAATATAAATTGAGACATCTTGTGGAAAACAATGTTGCAAATGTCTCTGTTAAAGAGATTATGGCGAACGTCAATACAGATATTGACATGAACGTAATGGACAGGAATGCAACCTTCACGCCTAATTTTTCACTGAATACACCAGATGCAAGATCAATATGTAAAACATGGAGAAAACAAGTAGAGGCTACGTTCACAGCAGAACTGGATTCAGTCAAAGTACAGACGGTTTCTGTCAGTAGCGATATATGGACTGAAGTCCAATCAAAACTGAAAGAGTTACCACAACATTTACCACATGAGATACAGCTGTTTTCAGACAAGGGACGAGTCGTTGTCATTACAGGTCCGGAGGAAAAGCTACCCAACATTTGTAGTGAGATACAAGAGACCATTGACGGCATGCAGACAATGTATGATAGGAAGAAGAATGAAATTGAAGACAAAATATCCACAAAACCACCAAAGCTTAGGCTTTTACTTTTACAAGGAATACTGCAAAGTGTACATGCTGAAGGTTTGTGTGTGGACGTGGATATAGATAAAGGGGAGCTAGTTTTCACTGGTCAAAAGGATGATGTCCAATCTGGCAAGATGAAAGTTTATGAGGAGTTGAGTAAAATACAGCAGCAGACAATTGTCAGTAAACTCACTCCAAACCAAGTCGAACTATTACATCATGGGACTGTTTCTGAGGTTCTCGTAAAGAAACTGCAGGATCAGCCATCTCCTTTGAAGGGGTCTTGGGAACCAGCTAAAGAAGGCGTCATAGTCTACTATACCGAAGAAGATAAGATTGGAGATGTTTTGAGGTACATCAGCACATCACTAAAAGAAATCACGTTACAACTTGATGACGAAAATCTGCTCCTACTGTCATCAAAAAAGTTTAAGGAATTTATGGCCGAACTTACAAAGGCACACGAGGACAGGATCATCATCACACCAGAATCTAAGAAACGACAAATAACTGTAACTGCAGTCAGCAGAGATTGTGCGTCCGTGGAGTCTGTTCTGCAAAAATTCATTCAGGGAAACAGTATTTACATTGTGTCATATAAATGTGATGCATTCCAACTAAAATTTATGATACTCCATTGCGAGGATGAACTTGACGCAATAGAGCAACAACTAGAGCAGTTTTGTGTCAACTTTGAAAGACGAAACAACGATCCTGATTTTGCTTTGACTTTGAAATCCACAAAAGCTGGTCAGCCACATGCCATTAAGCTAATAGACTGCATCACTAAAAGAATCACAACACACACACAAGTTATGTCACGTCCTGGATTGAAAGCCTACTTAGAAAGCGCCACCTCTGTCTTGCAAAGGGTTGAACGCGATACAAGATGTGTCATCTCACTGAAGGAAAGCATCAATGACAATGCAGAAGATCTGAGTGAAGATGATACATCAATGGCATACGATGTTGCCTTTGTTTGTTATCATAAAAACGAAGGGCAACTGCAAATTGCCCTGGGAGATTTAGTGGCCATACTCCCAGACGTGGACGTAGTTGTGGTCGAGGTCACTCCTGGACTAAACAGTGACTCAGAGCAGGCCTGGGAAGTGATCAGTAGAGGTTAGCATAATATATACTCAATCGAATATATACTAATCAACACTTGGATTTGAACATACTCTCCCCTTGAAATGTTATGACTTAATCCTTCAGGGTTGGTGGGGTAACCTTGTGGTTACAGCGTTCGTTTGTCACGTCAAAGGCCAAGGCTCGATCCCCTGAATGAGTAAATTGCGTGAAACCCGTGAATTATGCTAAAATATTCCTAAATGCAGCGTAAAACATAACCTACTTCTTCAGTGTCTTCTCTATCCTCTGTATGTGTTTGTCACTGTTATCACTAATATTATTCTTTTACAATTGGGGTGATGGAATTAATATCTTACAAAGTCTCATAACTTAGCATTATAACTGGACTATCTTTGTTGCAGCTGGAGATGGAGCAGTTTCAGAGGTTCGAGGGCTGTCAGGTCAGATTGCAGAAGGGGATGTTGTCAGCAGTTCAGCAGGAGCTCTGAGTTGCAGAATGATAATCTATGCCGTTGGACCCACGGGTAAAAACAACCCCGAGGAGGTTATCAAGACTTTAGTTACCAAAAGTTTGAAACTTGTTGCCAAGAAGAACATGAGATCACTGGCACTCCCCGCCTTTAATACCCAACTGGTCTCATCTTATCTTTGTTCTGAGGACGCCATGAAGGCTGTGGTTGAAGCTGTGTATGAGTTCTTCAATGACAACCCACAGGGCAGCTTGAAAAATGTCTACCTCTGCACAGAAGACGAGCAACAGTGTGCGCCCGTATGGAACATTGCAATAGATGCCTTTGGTGAGGGGAATGTGAAGGGCACAGATGGGGGAATGGAGGCAACAGATTCCCTTCATGGAGGTCGACGACGTGGAATGGGCCACAGAAGGTGTAAGCTATACAAGTTTCTATGTCTATTAATACACAATGTAATGTACAACTCTATTAGGAATCGTAGTAAATGTATTTCGAATTCTATTTTCTTTCTTTCTGGTGTCAAGACCTTCCAAGAGAAACAGGGTCACAGGTTAATTCAAATATTTTTATGGCCACCATTTTTGCAGATAATCAATGCTGAATATTCTCCGGTGTTGAGTTCTATATTTATGTGGAAGTTAATTTTTGCATCAATTAACAGAGAGTAAGACAATTGCATGTTTTTCTTTATGCAGCAAATGCAAGTAATCGCTATGAAAGTGACACAATCCAAGAGGATGACTTTGAGGAAGCGTCCGGGGGCCTAGAGGAAGAATCTCGCTCCCCTCCTAACAGGATGAAGCCTAGGATTCTCCTGGTGAAAGCTGACATGGGAGTAGAAGAGGTGAGATACTTCGTCCAAAGTAAAAAATATTTAATATAAATCAGAACATAGTGGGATTTCATACTCATACTTCGAAATCCAAACGAAATGCAGGCAACAGATTCATTATATACAATGCTAAGTGAGAGCAACTTAATTGAAAAATAGAGGCTTATCATATATAGTAATCCCTCAAACAGTTAAACATTTTTAACCCTAGGTATAAACATTATTTGATAGTTACTTATGAACGAGTGATAATGTCGGAATCGTATAATGGACTTTGTTTTTAAAAGAAAGTTCCATGATTTGGAAAGGGTTTTATCTCTTTTATTATATATCAAACTGATTTTGTTAGTTCTGAAGTTTAAATTGTTATTTCTATCTGATGGACAAAATGAAATTATAACCACAATCAATTTGTGGTGTTAGGCAGATGTGATCGTCAACTCAAGCAACACTCATCTTGATCTTGGCCAAGGTCAAGTGTCTAAGTCACTGTTGAAGCATGCTGGCAAGGCAATACAGATCGAATGTAAGGAGAAGTACCCACAAGGTGTCAACATGGGAGGAATTGCTGTCACTAAGGGAGGTGATATGCAATGCGTGGAACAAATATACCACTGCATTCTGCCACAGTGGAATGCCAATACTGGCAAAAAGGTATTACTCGCATTTTGATACCTTCTATGAAACTGAGGTACGGGGTACTTGTTTAGTTTCTTTGATTCATGTCAGTTTATATGTATATCATGATATATTGTCTGGTCATTAGCTGACAACCGTTTGCAATTTCATCATTCTCTATGAATATACAATGTCAACGCCAGAGCATATGCCTAAGCAATGACGTCTCTAGATATACGCCCACTCACAGTTGATATGCAGTATGCGCAGTATGCGCAATAGACATGTCACGTGTTCATGTGATGACCTGTGGCCTTCACATACTTTAGCAGGTATGTAATGCTTTGTCACTTTTGAATTTAAATGTGAAGCTAAATGTTATGAATTTGATTGTTTGCAAGGCTGAAACGAGCACTAGTTGAACTACAATGAGTACCAATAATTCCGATCTGATTATAAACATGGCGATCATGAATGCCACAATCAAAAAATGACTTTGGCTTACAATTCAGACATTTCTAAGTGCACGGATATGGAAATAATATTTAAGATTTTGTGGCTCAGCTTACAGCTGGTAATGAAGGTATCAATACACTGTCAAGATCATGCTTTAAATGTATTATGTTCAGAATAACTCATGACGTTTTCAGTGACCTGTTCATGTATCAAAGAGCCTGACCCGTGTTTTCAATTAGTTCAATTTGTACTGCTTTGGGTTTATATCTCCCAAAGTGGAAGTGACAGTCCATATTACTTTCTTATTAAAGTTGATTGAGACAGTTTGAGGGCATTGATGAAAAGATGAGGAATTCGGCTATTTCTGTTTTTGTATGTAATGGAAAAAAACCACTTTCATAGGTTCTTGAATCTATATACCTGGGTAATTAAGGAGATTTATTAGGACGTGAATAAAGAGTATATTCCAATTTTAAAAATGGCTTCCTTGATCGCTATATTAATACTGCCATTTGTATAGTCAATGAGGTTTATACTTGCACTTTAGTTAGACGTCTCAGTTGTCATTTAAGTATCAAGTATGACCCATACCATACATTAGACAACGTGTCTTTAATTATTTTTATCCAAAATTTATATAAAAATCCCAAATTTTAATAATAATATCTCTTTTATAAAAAAGATATCATATCTCCTCTTTCTGATAAAACAATATCAACACACCCGAAAAGCAAATATATAATGTACATTGTTTCTGCTTGACACCAACATAAATAATTCTCGTTTTATTTGAAGACCTTTACGGATACTCTCAATGCACTCCTCACGAAGACACATCAGTCCAAATGGAAGACAATGGCCATTCCTGCGTTAGGAACAGGCAACCTGGGATACTCCAGAGACCTCGTTGCTAAACTGATGTATGACACTGTAGTCCAGTTTGGGAAGGATAATCCAGACACGACCATCAATGATGTGCTGTTTATTGTCTACCCGGGAGACGCGAAGACAATTCAGGTTATTACTCTTTTGTTCATATATACACAAGACAAAACGTTAAGGAACACTGCTAACGTTCATGATAAACATATGCCGTACTTGTAGGTAATTATTTAACCTGATATTGACTTCCATACATTCCCAGGGACCGACCATTTGATATTCTAGCAGGGCGCCTGGGATTTTGTATGGATTTTGTATTACAGATTACAGCTGAAAAACCCCAGATATGTTTCTATTTGCAAACAGGGGGTATGTTGGAAATGGTCATGTCAATGTCAGGTTTGTCTCCATTGATATGTTATTCATGAATAGAATGGCAGTTGATCGGTTAGTAGCAGGCAGTTTGGTTTTGTAGTGAACAGGCCACCCAAATAAAACAAAACCTTCAGATCAGCTTAAAGAGTAAACAACTTCGGCCTCAACTATAAACAATGAACAGTTTGGTAATTTAACATGTTTGTGGAATACGTGTTAATTTGTAACTGGAGCTGTACGTTATAAGGAATGGCGCATGGTGTCACATATGACGAAGCAATCCTCCATATGATAGCCGGGCCTTACAACAGATCCAAAATGTGCCATTCTTTTTATCTAATTGACATAATGCCGTCCTTACACGGCCCTAATAATCACGGAGTATATTCAGAAGAAACAATATAACATATGGAGTAATGGAGTATATTCACCTAACTTGAAGCCGACTGGACATTCTTTGGGTGATCTCCAGCAACGTCTTGCTCACATGCTGGTTGATAAACACATGAACAATTCCATTACTAACAATTTCTGTCTATTCTAATGCCTTCAAAGTTTTTTTCTAATAAATTCACAAGAAATCTCTCGATTGTACGATTCCGACTCTATGACGAGCATGTGTTTTTTAATCAGATCAGCAAGTAAGAAGCATAATTGGTTCTCATGCGGATGCCACCTTCTTGCTTGAATGTCCTATCCCCAAATTTTGCACAAGTGTTATCCATGAGCAATTCCAGCATTTCATAAATTGTTCCTCAGTAAACTTCAGATAACATCTGCTTGTCATAAGTCTAACAAATTGATTGTGATTTTTTCAATTCATTAAGTTACAAGTAACCTAATTTGAGTTGAGTGCATTATTATCCTGGATTTGCTTCGCTATTGTGACTTTATGTTAGTATTTCTGGATGGCACTTACATATAGAAGTGCATTTTGAACGCAGCGTTACACCCAATTTCACCTCATCTACCTGTTCTTGAGAGCTAAATTAAAAACATTATTGGTGTAGGGATACATGGCTCATGTGTAGCTTAATCTGAGATGGCGGATTTGGAGTCATGGCCATAGACATGTAAGTATGTTGACTATATGACTATGTTCTACCCTGTTGTTGTTCACTTGCCTTAATACTATTGACTTACAATATGTGAAAACCTGGACTCCTCATGGTGAACATGAATATAAATGTGGGGGTAAGATATTTAGGCAAGAAGTCGGCATATCCATGGGTACCAATTGTGCTCCTCTTTTTGTTGATCTTTTTCTTTATGCACATGAATAGGAATTTCTGCTCGTACTGGTAAAGTGAAAACAATGTAATTTGGTCAAGAATTTAACTCAAGCTTCGGGTATATTACGGTTCTACTGTTAATACCGTTCAATAACCTTCAACCCTTCCACTAATGTACCTACATGAACAAGAAATAAAGAAGATCAGTGAGGCCTCCTCATCCGTTCCATATTAAGATCTATGCATAAAGATTCAGATTGACATAACACTCTCCACAAGAGAGGATAATAAGAGGGGTGTTCCTACAGCCCCAGCCCTTGGTGTCTACATTTCACAACTTTTGGGGTAAAATTGAGCATGCTCTTTCTACCAAGATTTCCGAGAGCGTCATATGAGTCTTGCTTAGAAGTTGTGTGATAAATGTTACAACATACAAAGCCTCCGTGAAGCTTTCAATTTTTTTTTAGGGAAGACATGTGGAGGACATTTTCAAATTTGACGCATCAGTGACGAACATGATGTCGGGTGCAATTCCCTATTTTGACCATAGGGTCCCGATTTTTTTTCAGTTGAACAATTGACTTGACTTTGCATGTGTTTGTAACGGGTGTCAGGATACATTCAACTTTCCGCGAACACCTGGTGGTATCATCACTATTTGATAAGGATTCATAAACATATGTCCATGATCTAGTCGGAATCTTTTGGACGTCTTTTGGCAGAGATTACTTATAAATGGGGAAATTGTTTTGTCGCCCTTATTAAAGATTATGATATGTCACTTAACTATGTAGCTATAGCGATCAATGAAATGTTTATTGTGGTAACATTTTGTGATTTCTAGGCATTTGAAGCTGAACACAGAAAATACATTGCGCTCACTGGAGGTAAACTTGCGTCATCCCAGAAAGGTAACATCAGGATTATTGCCTGCTATTGATGCCTCTTGTCTTCGTCATACACATATTTTGAATCTCTGTTACATAATGCCAATCAAATACAAAATTAATTTATGATGATATATACGAACAGGTTATGTCTGCAGTACATGTGTCTATTGATTATTGATGTCATCTCCATTTCAGAAATCGATGACCAGAGAATGGACGAACTTGAAGCCTACAGGGATCAGCTGAAGTCAGACAAAGCAAAACGAGACAAAGGGGCCTCAATGTCGTCTGTTTTTAAAGCAGCTGTTGGCAGCCTTTTCAATAGAAAGGAAAAGAAAAGTGATAAAGCCTTATCGACACCTGTTCAGACCCCTCGACCTTCTGCTCCAAGCCCCAAACAACCTTCTGCTCCAAGCCCCAAACAACCTTCTGCAACACGAACAGTTGCATCAGATGTTAAGGTGTGGATTTACACTGACGATGACGCCAATGTGACGAAAGCAGTTGCCATGATTTACAAAGACTGGGATAGCAAAGCAGACAGACATACTATAGACAAAGATGAGTCCATTAAAGTGTGGTCCCCAGAGGAGGTAATCTCATGATTTCCTTTTATGAAGGTTTTTTAAATAACAACAATAACAACAAATTACAATTTTGATTCAATTATAAGGGTAATATTTGTGTTATATAGGGAAATGAACATGTCACACAAAGAACTTGTTTCTTTAATGTTTGTGTTGAAAGGAGGGCAAAACATTATATGTGACGTAAGTGACGATTTAAAAAAAAATATACACTTATGAATGTCTTTGTTTTGCATTTTCTTTTCAGATCAATGATCTCAAAAAGATTGAACAGGAGTGTGGTGTTTCTATCACTGCAAACAAAGCCTTAGGACGTATCATTCTGTATGGGTTAAAGCGCAATGTTACTGATGCAAGTGGAAAGGTTTACCAGATGATTCGAGAGTTGGAGAGGAAGCATAAGGATGAGGAATATGCGGATGAACTGCAAAGAGTTGTGCAGTGGTCATTTGTAGAGCTTACGGAAGAGGGAGAAGACAAAGTTGTTGACTACGATAAGAAAGTTAATGTAATGTTAGAAAAAGCTTACACCAAACAACAAAAGACGAAGTTGGAGTATGAGGGATATACCTTTGATTTCACCAAATGGGTAGAGTATCCTTCAGAGGATGCGACTGACACAGTGACAATGATTCGCCGAGATAAAGTTTCAGGTGAGCTATTGCTGGGTTATTATATTATGTCATGAAGTTCATAAAGTGCTGTTATATGCATTTGACAATTGTACTTGTGATGTATTCTGATTGATTGTGATATATTTTTGCAAGTAAGAACAAGCGGTATATGTGGAATATGATCGATCAAATAATGTAGGTAACTCAAAATTTTGACCTTTTCCTTATGTTCCTATTTTAATTATATATCATAGTGTAGGCATGACCAATACGCAGATATATCTAGTTTGATGGTACTGCACGCACACTGTTATACTTTCTACTATATAAGGAGATTCAGAAAATTGTAGTTATCATTGAGGGTATATTCACAGGTCATATTAAATTTCAATTGGAACTTCATATAATTACATTTGACACACTATTAAACTTCTTGATAGAATGATAGAAAGGAAAGCGTGTGCGCGAATTGACATCCTAACCTATCATCCTACTTTTTCACATGTTTCAAAAAGTATTCATTGTCCTAGCCTATGCATAGTCTGTTAGAATATTTTCCCGGCTGTCCATTGCTGTCCATAACTAAATCAGACAAAAATGTATTAGCTCCAAATACTCCCTTAAAATACATATTCTCGCTGCATATTATTTCAGGAGCGTCAGCCCACTTCCCCAGCACATGGGTTGGCACGAACTCCACAGATGATGTAAAGATTCTTCAGGTACCAAATGGGAATCAGGAATTTACCAGGGTAAACCAGACGTTTACAGACGCAGTTGGAAATATGCCTGTCCAGATTCGAAGGGTAAGTGAAGCACACTCGCCTCTTGAGACGTCATTACACCATAAACTACTGAACCATAAAGCTAAAACGTAACGTGCTTGTTATCAACTGTGATGATACCTGGCTCTGTTCAAGAGGTTCGAATCCGACTTTCAATTCGGTCGTAACAACACCAATGTTGAAAAACCTATTTGTGACCATGAATTGGATGTCTGACAGCAACATTTGTTAAGTTTTCTTTGACATTATAAACTGTTAAATGAATAGCCAGGAGAGCTTCAGTGCCGTGATACTACTTTTACTTTTACGTGATACTACGTGTCGTCCACAAAAGCCTATTCTTGTCATATGTGGGGTCAGGCTCGTTGACTTGGTTGCTTGCGTGTCATCGTACCCCAACAACATGGATCGTTGCTGATTGTATCAATCACTGATTAGTCGTATCCAGAGCCAACAATGTACAGACCATCGTCATTAAACTTGAAATACTTGAGTGTAAACAAACCAATATGATGATTTATTATATATTTTTGTGTGAAAGATTGACTTTTCTGAAGTTGAGAAAAATGATATTTTGATTGCAGTGAACATAACAATTGATAATCCACTGCAATGAGCATAACACTAGATATTTCACTGCTGTGACCATAACACTTTGACGGAACTATCGTCATACAAGAGTTACCTCCCCTTAAATTGTCTCGCTTTATCGTGTCAAGCCCGTACACAAACTGTTGACGTCCTCTTTACGTTATTTCCACTTTGACAAGGCAAAACAATGACAGATGCTCATTTATGGAGTTGATATCACTTCTTGCTATTTGTTATTCTCTCGACAATGTTTTGTTATAAACTATAGTTTTTTCATTTAACTCGTCAATCGAGACTGTTCGTTTGGCCAAACGCCATTTTTGTTACTTGACCAGCGTCTATTCTTTCGGTTCCAACATTGGTTTTCAAGAAATGTTTTTGTTAAAGTTGATTTTAAATTTACGTTTCAAGGTTTTACATTTGTAAAGAAATAATTTTATTTCCAGGTAGGCAACTACACAAAAAGTATATAATAAATAGGATATTTCATGTGCCGAGTGATATATCATGTTTCTCTCATCTCGTGACAGGGGGAAATGAGCTATATTCCCCCTTTACGAGATGAGAGAAACATGAGATTTCACTCGCCACATGCAATATCCTCTGTGTATGTGTTCAGATCGACAGAGTGCAAAGCAAGACCCTCTACCAACAGTATCAAGCCAAGAAACAACAGTTGGAAAAGCAGAACCCTGGAACAACGGTAGAAAGGACGCTGTGGCATGGAACTCCACAGGGGGCAACCATGAGCATCATGACGTATGGCTTCAACAGGAGCTACTGCGATAAAGACAGTGAGTTGGTTTCATATTTCATGAGTTTCTTTCTGATAAAAAATGGAAATGGACAGACAACCTTTAGGACGGATGTCATTAAGTATTTGACGCGTGGACGTATTTTCAATGATTCCAGGTAATGCCCTTGGGGAAGGAGCTTACTTCACCTCTGATGCCGCCTATGCTTCTAGAGACCGCTATGCCCCGACCGATGGTCAGGGCAACCGACACATGTTCCTCTGTAAAGTACTCACAGGATCATACACCCAGGGCCAACCTCAAATACGAACACCACCACAAAAGGACCCTGCTAAGCAAGAACTGTACGACAGTGTTGTAGACGATCCAGCGAATCCAAAGATCTTTGTCGTATTCAGTGATACGCAGGCATACCCTGAGTATCTTATTTCATTCCAGTAACAATGTGAACATGAGTTGAGGAACTGATTTGGCATGTCAGTAGAAAAATGGGTATTTACCGGCGTGAATCTTGTTATTTTGAACTTGCAATAGTAATTCTGGATCAATATCATCCTTTCCTAATTGTTTCGTCAGTACTCAATGAGAGTCATTTCACTATTGTGTATGTCCCAATTTTAGCGCTAGCCTCTCTCAGCAACTAGCACTTGTAAATAATTTATTGAATAATGCAACTTTTGCTTTTAATTTTTAAGTAAGTGTATAATTATAGCAGTGTTAGTGGCTTGTATATTTTGAACTGGTAAGTACTTTCACATTTGGTTATGGTAAACATGATTTGCTTGCTTTTGAACCCCATGCTAAATGTCTGAAAACATTCACTACATTTGGCCATAATACCCTGTGAAGAAAGATTCATGTTAGTGGTAATGCACCAGAAAGGTTTATAACTGTATGAAAACTAGCTCATTTAAGATGATGACATTTTGACTGTGATAAGAAAGAATATGTAGCGTTAGAAGGTAACTTGGTTTAGGGAAAGTTATACCATTCCCTGTTAGCTGTCCATATCATGTAAACATTAATAGGTTAATCATTAAAGAGATTGCTTTAGTTACTTCTACACATCTGAAGCGTGTGCACCCTAACCCTAACCCCTCACTTTTGAATGCAAATTGCGTGAGTGCCTGGATGCTAACATTTGGGAAGGACATGCTTTCCCTTTCAGCGAACACCTGATGCCATCACTGATGTTCAGTGATCAAATCTTGCCTTCCCAGTGTTCACGTTATATATATAGTTCTGTCTTCATGGCCCAGATATTTGCTTAATAACAGTTAATAAATAAATCATAACAAGATCTTTACTATCTACTTCCACCATAGAATGCTATCATTTTTCGCATGTTTGTAATGTTTTATTCATGTATGGGAGGCCACAGGCCCATGTACATTTCAGCTGTATAAATACAAGAACACACAGTTGAGGCAATTACATTAAAACCAATACCTAGGTTCCTCATATGAAAGCTCTACTAATTCGTTGCTAATTCCTGATTCATAAGCAGGTGTATATGAACCACAATCAACTTGTGATGTTATATTGACCCCGGCTTGGTATTTTATTTTTTACAGAATTTTACAGAAGTTTTACTGGAGTCGAAACCCATGTTGCGAAGTAATAATTTCCGTATTGCATCAATATAATATATTTTTTGATTACTATGTTTGACATGGGGGATGATGTTTAGTGAGTTTAATGTAATGGTAATATACTATAATATTCAATAAAGTTCCATTGTATAAGCACAAGAATAAAAAGGAAAAATGACCGATCTTCTTTTTCTGTTCTTCAGTTGCTCACACTACTAAGGGGCGCAACTCTGCTCAGCACCCAAGACGACTGGGTCGATCGTGCCCCTCGCGGATAAAGTATTTTGTTCGTTTGTTTGTTGTTTAACGCCACACTAAGCAATATTCCAGCTATGTGACGGCAGTATTAAAATACCTCAAATACGAACACCACCACAAAAGGACCCTGCTAAGAGAGTCATTTCACTATTGTGGATGTCTTAATTTTAGCGCTAGCCTCTCTCAGCAACTAGCACTTGTAAATGATTCCTTGAATGATGCAACTTGTGTTTTTCATATCTCTTACAGTAGTAAGTGTATAATTATATCAGTGTTTGTGGCTTGTATATTTTGAAATGGTTAGTACTTTCACATTTGGTAACAGTAAACACGATTTGCTTGCTTTTGAATTCCATGCGAAATGTCTGAAAACATTCAATACATTTGGCCATAATACCCTGTGAAGAAAGATTCAAATGACTGGTAATGCACCAGAAAGGTTTAGAATTGTATGAAAACTAGCTCATTCAAGATGATGGAATTTTGACTGTGATAAGAAAGAATATGTAGCGTTAGAAGGTAACTTGGTTTAGGTAAAAGGTATGCCATTACCTGTTAGCTGTCCATATCATGTAAACATTAATAGATTAATGCTTCAACAGATTGCTTTAGTTACTTCTACACTTCTGAAGCTTGTACACCCTAACCCTAACCCCTCACTTTTGTATGAAAATTGCGTGAGTGCCTGGATGCTACCAGCAGGGAAGGACATGCTTTCCCTTTCAGCGAACACCTGATGCCATCACTGCTGTTCTGTGATCCAATCTTGCCTTCCCAGTGTTCACGTTATATATATAGTTCTGTCTTCATGGCCCATGTATTTGCTTAATAACAGTTCATAAATAAATCATAACAAGATATTCAATATCTACTTCCACCATAGAATGCTATTCATTTTTCGGATGTTTGTAATGTTTTATTCATGTATGGGAGGCCACAGGCCCATGTATATTTCAGCTGTTTTAATACAAGAACACACAGTTGAGGCAATTACATTAAAACCAGTACCTAGGTTCCTCATATGAAAGCTCTTCTAATTCATTGCCAATTCCTAAATTCATAGGCATGTGCATATGAACCACTATCAAGTTGTGATGACACTAGGTGTTCGCGAAATGGTGAGCAAGAGTTGGTATTTTAACCATCCATGGGCAGATGATTACATACACGAGATGGTCTCTTATTCCATTGTAAAGAAAAGCAATGTAGAAATGACGGTATGACAGTCTCGAATGACTTTACAGAATTTTACAGAAGTTTTACTGGAGTCGAAACCCATGTTGTGAAGTAAGACTTCCCGTGTTGCATCAATATAATATATTTTTGATTACTATGTTTGACATGAGGATGATGTTTAGTGAGTTTAATGTGATTGTGATATACTATAATATTCAATAAAGCTCTGTTACATAAGCACAGGAATAAAAAGGAAAAATGACCGATCTTCTTTTTTATCTGTTCTATTGCTCCCACTACTAAGGGGCGCAACTCTGCTCAGCACCTAAGACGACTGGGTCGATCGTGCTCCTCACGGATAAAGTGTTTTGTTCGTTTGTTTGTTGTTTAACGCCGCACTCAGCAATATTCCAGCTATATGACGGCAGTATTAAAATAATCAACTATGGACCAGACAATCCAGTGATCGTTATAATGGGCTTCGATCCATGCAACTGGGTTGTTTGGTTGGTTGGTTGTTGTTTAACGCCGCAATCAGCAATATTCCAGCTATATGACGGCGGTCTGCAAATAATCGAGTCTGGACCAGACAACCCAGTGATTGACAACATGTGCATCGATCCACGCAATTGGCATCGATGACATGTATCAAACAAGTCAGCGAGCCTGACCACCCGATCCCGTTAGTCGCCTTTTACGACAAGCATAGTCGCCTTTTATGGCAAGCATGGGTTGCTGAAGACCTATTCTAATCGTCATAGCTGGAATATTGCTGAGTGGGCGTAAAATACCAACAAACCAACTAATCCGGATCTTCACGGATCTCACGGATAAAGACGGTATAGGGAATCTAATATAAAAACGATTTACTAAGTTGCTTTTTACATTTCACTTGTGAGGTGCATGTTGATACAGTAAACTACGGTTATAACGAACTCAAAGGGACTACTATTTTTAGTTCGTTATAACCGTAGTTCGTTATAAGCATATATACAACATAACTACAGCAAATAGTCGGGACTAAAAAGTTAGTTCGTTATATCCGTCAGTTCGTTATAAGCGTGTTCGTTATAACCGTAGTTTACTGTATTATGAAAATATAAGACTCTGGTTCCGGCACACAACAGGCGCAAACCTTAGGTCGCTTATTGAGTTGCGGTCACTCTAGGGGAAGTGTATAGGGGAATTACGTGCACATCTTTCACACCCTTCACATGTCACATCCTTTGTTAATAGCCATAAGGGAATACATTATTCTGGGGTGGCTGATATTTGTAAGCGATTGTTTTCAAGAATACTTCAACACAACCGACATCCCCTCCATAAAATATTTGTAAGTAATCTGTCCAATATCTTCTCATGGTATAAAATATACACATGCTCCTATTACCACTGTACACATGATGGTCTTGAAATATGATTTCTGGGGCGTGTTGCAAAGAGATTACAGTTGCTGCCGTTACTGAATACTACACATGTTGTCAGGGTATGAAACTCCCAAAAATTTCAGCCAGACCACAGGACTGGCTAGCTGAAATACTTGCCAGCCCTGACCAAAACCTGCCTGCCCACTATAATCATATGTTTCTCAGGATAAGCTAACGGGGTTTCTTTTTGGTTACATTTTATCATTCATCTTTACATGTGAATTAATGCTTATCATCGGGAAATATTTAGAATATTGTCACATATGAAATATAACCCGACCGTCGGGCAGGGGGATTTGAAAATCTGGCAGCCCGAGTTGAAATCAACCCGTTTCGGACGGTCGGGCAGGCAGGTATTTCGAACACTGATGTTGTTCACTCTTACCACTTTCGTGAAACATACAAGAGATGTCAAATCATAGGTTTTAATCAGGCGAATTGGAAATCGAACCCTGGCACCTTAAGGGACGCAACGCTGGGTCCCCCATGCCGCGTCATTGTGATAGGACGACTACACTAACCAGAGAATAGGAACAACTGCATTAACATGGAATATGATAGCAAAAGGATTGCGTTTATCGAGTAGAGTTATAAAAGTAAACTAGAATGAATACACGTTAGATACGGGTTAGAATTGGTCTCAGCAGCCCATGCTTGCCGTAAGAAGCAACTAACGGGATAGGGTGGTCAGCCTCCCTAACTCGGTTGATACATGTCACCGTATCCAAATTGAGTAGATCGATGCTCATGATATCAATCACTGGATTTTCTGTTCCAGCCTCGGCTTTTCACAGGCCGCGGTCATATAGTTTTGCGTTAAAAAACAAACAAAGCATAGTTTTCAGAAGACCGTGCAGATCTAATATATTTTATGTGCGCTTACCTGAATAGAAAGCCCAGATCAAGATTTGCTTGGAAAAAAACTTCAAACACGAAAAAAGGAGACCAGTCAGTGAAAAGGTATTGAAAAACTGGATTATCATGATTCAGTGAACTTATCTCCTATGTTGCACCCTAAAGAGTTTCAGCATTTGACTGGATACAGGTTATACCTGCTTGTTGCTCACCTATGACTTCTAACCTTTCAACTTTCACAAATAACAACATCTGGAAAATATGGTTTTGTTCACGTAGAGGTGGATCTACTATCAGATAAATGGAGTTAACTGCTGAAATATATTGTGAAATGTACATTTGTTTCCTTTGGTTTATATACTATTCACGACATACGTGAAAGATCATTGAATGTATGAATGCTTATTTAGGACATGCGCAGAAAGGCTTAGTGATATTTGTTGTGTGTTGCTGGCGTTGCTGGCGTTACTGGCGTTGTTGGTGTTGTTGGTGTTGTTGGTGTTTCTTGCGCGATTATTTCGCTGTATTGACAATTGTGGTTTCTTCTTGGATTAAGTGTTTCTGGTAAGTCATGCATTAACATAAATACTGCCTCCACTAAACACTTGCAGTAGTAGTTTGGACAACAGTCCGTTAATAGTAAAAGTAGACCAGGAAGTACACCCAACAATGGCGTGATTACAGGCAGACGCATAACGTGAATGCAGTGGGTGTGTTGTGTGTCTTTCCTTCTGTAATTGTGTGTCGATATGTCGAGGCCTTCATTTTTACTTGATTAGGGGTCGCCCGACCCTAAAAAATCGAAAGGGCTTTGTATGTGGCGGACAGTGAAAATCGATATTACAAATTAGATCTAAACAATTGACACTATTTCCACTTCTCGACCCAATAAAATCTAAAAACCCCTTTATAATCTATTTTGACCTATTGACCACATTTTCAGTAATAAAACCAGAAACCAATATATATATATATATATATATATATATATATATATATATATATATATATATATATATATATATATATATAATGTTTATATATATATATATGGCGTTGGCATGGGATTTGTTTGCAAAATAATGTTCCAGAAAATACTCTCATTTAGAAGTTGCATATATTTTCCCGCAGTTTTAAGAAGAAAATGTCCGCATGACATGCTGGATGGCGTGAAAACATTGTGTAGCGAGAAAGGTAAAATTATTTTGTTCAGCACCTCCTTTCAGAGCAAAAATAATTTGAAGCATGAAGCAGTGACTGAAAATTTACTCTGCATCTCACAAAATCACATACATGTATATGGTTGCACTTAACAGTGCTTTGCTAGGCGTTTATAAAAATATATTTCTACATTTCGAACACACAACTTGTGTTTTGAGGCTTCCCTAGAGCTGATTGTAACCACATTGTCATAGGTCCGCCCCGTTAGCTGTTTCCTGTCCCGTCTGAGCAGAAGATCACGGTTATTATGAGATGTAGGCTTTTTGTATTGTCGGGAATTGGATTTGTTTACCTGAAGATAAATCCGTGTCAGTTTTATACTGGATTCGTAAGCTTTACAAGAATCAATGTATTGAGAAATATATTGCAGGATCAAGCAAACGAATTAATGACCCATTTATCCTTGTCAAACTACTAACGATAATTCTAACAAATAATACTGCTTGAGAAAATATGAGACATCTGGATGTTGAAAAAAGCAAAATGTTTTCAAGTTTAGAATACGATTTTGTCACCCTTACACAAATATTCCTCATGATAAATTGAACTAGAAATTGCGTAATGTAATCCCTAGGGCCATTGTTTCCAAGAAAGAGGTTCGGAAAAGCATTTTTAATATAATTCCTAATGCATCGTGTCAGTTTGTTATGAATGAAAGTAACTCTATACAGAGATATTAAGATATTCAATTATGTGAGTTACTGTACATCCTGATTTGGATACTCTTTGTCGATGTAACTGTCGGTCTAATTTCTTTCAGCAATGCCAAGATACATGAATATATTAGTCTCATCTATTCATAACTGTGAGAAATCAAAGAAACAATTGAGAAACAATTTTCAGTGTGTTATCTGGACCTTTGGAGAGATATTAAAAGAAATATCAACCTCTGTATCAAGCTTCATGACAGTAGGGAAGAATTGGATTTTCAAATCGCGAATCTTCCATTCATGTCGAGCAATATACCCTAAGGTCCACTTTATATCAGGTCTACATTTCTCAATAGCTACTTTATAGTATGTGCCCTATAGCTCTATAGAAGATATTCGAGGCTGAATATTACGCAAAAGGTTACATTCTTCAGACTCAATTTTAGAAGAGTAGTTTACAGAGCTAAGTATGCACCATTGCGGCCATAATGAAAACCTTTTTCCAACCCGGACAAATTTGAGTCTAGGCGCATTAATTACCAGAAGTTGAAACAGTTCTTAAACAAGAATACATATTGATACTGTCAAGTTTCGACACTCTTTATCAGTACGTATGAGTAGGTTCTGAATTTTTTTGAATACTTAATGTAAATCCCTTTACTATTATAGAATGAAAATTACACAACATCATATTTCTAACATGGATAGTGATTGAAATACCACTCGTGAACTTTGATTGGCATTTAATCAGTACGCATATGCATTTCAACAAGATACCCATAAAAAAGTGCAATAAACAGGCAAACTTCATTCGACCTAAATAGGCAATAACTCGTGAAATTGGTCCGAACTTAGTGAGTGAGTGAGTGAGTTGGGTTTAACGCTGCTTTTAACAGTATTCCAGTTGTATCGCGGCGTGTCAGCTTAATGTGGGAGGAAAGCCCGAGGTGATGCAGGTCTCAGATGAAACCCAAGAGCACGGGTGTGGTGCTGATAAACCTAGAAACATAAATCGGGATTCGAACCCACAATCATAGGCCTTAGACGACTGGGCCACCCGTGACCCCGTCTAAACTTAGGAAATTGCACTTTTATGAGGAATTCACAGATT